AGACTTGAGAAGGCGTTCGACTCTCTGCAACTGTTCAGTACTGAATTCTTTGAGGAGCCAGAGAATCAAAGAGATAGTGCGAAACGTAGACTGTCAATTCATATACTGTAGACTACGCAACGCAGCATGGCAAAATGTCTGTTGGAAAAAAGAAGAGCTAGGAAGATGAATGAAGTCGGACAGGAGTACGCGATGTCACTGCCCAAGTTGAAGACGTGGCAATGGACAGAACACGTTGCAAGGAGTCAGCTATCGCTGAACCAGAAAAAAATGGACTAAGTTCCATGAAAGAGTAAACGGAGATTTCTAAATCGACGCTAAGATGAGCTGAGAAAGTCCGTTTGATCAAGATGAATGAAAATGGCAGAAAACAGAACTCTTACGCCAGATTGTTGAGAAACTGGGTAGTTCGTTCATCCGATGTAAATGTTTTTTGTGGACCTGGAGAAAACTTATGACCTGATCCTGCGCAACAACTGTTGGAGTGCTTGCAAACATATAGGACTGATGGCCAGCTGCTACGAGCCATGTAATCACTGTCTGTTGATATCAGGTGCTGCGTCACAGTAAATGGCGTCAAGTCAGCGTTGGCACTGGTTTCCGCCAAGGCTGCGTTGTACATGGAAAGAACAGTCAAGCAAGGCCAATGCGACGAGTGTATGAGCGTTAGAAATGTCAAAACCAGAAGGCTGCAGCGTGCAGACGACCTTGTTTCGTAGGCATCTTCCAGAACTGATCTACAACGCTCGCTACCGAATGCGGCGTGTGAACGCATCTAAAACGAAAAGCCTAATTTTTCTCGATCTCCTACCCGTTGCTCTCTTCAGTTAAACGGAAGCAGTGGAGAAGTTCACATACCTCAAGGTCTTGTTTATTTGTGAAGGAAAATGGAAGAGATGAAATGACGCACTGAAACGGTCAGTGGCATCCTGCGTGAAGTAGCTCGTACCTTCTGAATAAAGCAGCTGAGTCTGAAGACAAGGCTCTATGATCAATTAGTCTTCACCCGGATTCTCATCTACGGTCATCAGCCATCGGTCATGAGTGAATAACTTCGATTTCGGGTACGAAACAGGATTTCTGATACCAATCGCAGGGCTCACGCGCCTCGACGTGGTCCAGAATTCAGATATCCGAGCTCTGGTGTGCAGCCGTTGCTCTTCCACATTGAGAAGCCACAGAGTGATGGTTTAAGTATATCTTACGAATGATTCCAGAAGGGAAGGCGTAACAGTTACTAATTGTCCAAATGACCGATCGACGACCCCGGGAATGACCAAAAATGACCAAAGCAAGTGCGTTGAGAGACTCTGTTCCAGATTCTGGTCATCTGCCGAGGCTGAACTGAACGCCTAGTGCAGACCTGAGAAAGTTGGAGACATTGTGACGCGATGCGTCTGACTTACCCACTGACAGCTTTTCTGCATCTGAAATGAAAAAAAGTAAATGGAATCGATAAATTAAGGGCAAGAGCACCGCCGGTGTTAATGAAAAATGGAGGAACGGGAGTGTGGAAAGAGCCGAGCCTCATACTTTATGAAATATTTAAGACATTTCGCAGAAATATGGACATGTGAAAGCAATTTTGAGCAAGCAACTTTCAGCCAGAGTACTATAAACAATATGGTTATGTCGTTTGCAAAAATGGCACAATCCTGTATTTTAGACCATCTGAACAGTCTTTCTTCGTCTCATTTCAAACTGAATTTCAAAACTGAAAAAACGGAAATTAAACCGTTCGGAACTTTGTGGTAACAGGGAAGGAGAAAAGCTGGAAAGAGATCTACCAGAAACCAACGGAGACGAATCGCTTCTAATGATTGTTTTGCCCAGAAACCAACATCGCCTAAATCATTCCGAGAATCCAAAGCGTTGGATATCAGAAATCTACGTCTATGACTGATAAATCAGATGAATATGAACAATCTGCTTCAAATCATCCGTAAGGAGTAAAAAAAGGCATCGCTGAAACTCCTGTCAGCAGATGTCAAGAACTGAGTTCTGATGAAGGTGACACTTGGAAAGAACTTTAGCCCAGAAGGAAAACATCAGGAAACAGTGCGTATTAAGTTCCTTATGGAAGCCATTCGTCAACAAATGAAGTAGATTGACATGTGAAAAAGCTGAAAACGGGGAATACAGAAGCAACGTATGATTGCTTATGTCAGCAACCTAATCCATAAAATACGAAGGGTTGTCTCACTTATTAGCATGAAAGTTGTGTCAAGATTTGAACTCATCCACTCAATTGACCAACGAATGTGTAGTAGGATGAACAGAGTGGATGGATTCACTGCGCCCCTGCTAATGTGGCGAAGTCTACACCAGGGAAAGGAATGATTTCATGAAGAAAAAAAGAACGGAACACGTGCGCAAGCTCACGCGACAGGACAACGTTGACTTAAGAGAAAAAGGCACTGTACAAAATGGACGAGGAAGGAGGCAAACGAAGGATCTTGCAGTACTCAACGCAGAATGCAAAAATAGCTCTGCTGTCGTTCAACACCGTGTCGTCAGAAAGCCTGAAATGGATCGGCAGCACACCAGCGCAATATTTGTCAAAAGAATTTTACATTTAGAAATATCAAAACTCTGTTCATACAGGCTCAAAGCCAACAAATGTTTGAATGCGGACAGTGATCTGAGCTATATCCATACGTACGTTATTAATAAGAAACTGCATTAATCGATTACCAGGCTTTTATCATTCCGCATTCGACAGAGACGATTTGGCTTTTAAAAAATCTGTTTTTATCATTTTAACTTGACAAGTAGACAAGTACAGTTCGAAACGTCGGTAATTCCTACAATAAAATCTTTATGCACATAAATCTCGTAAGAAACATGAACAGCGTGGAATTAATCTCTGACATAAGAGAACAGCGATCAATTTTCAAGCCCATTTCTAAACTAAAAGATGTAATCGACCAGAGCGACTACTCTACTTCCTGCATAATCTTGCATGTTAAGTTTGAAAACCATCTGTGGCATACGTCAGACTTTGTGTAGTTTCCGAACAGAGCAGGTTTCGAAAAGAAGTTAAATCGACTCTAGATTTGTCGAAACTTAAAAGCCATATAAGGTAGGAATTAACAATAACGAAAGTTCAACTAAAATGTTACACAATAGCACATTTCTGAGAGCTAATAAACATTTACTCAGATGCGCAACTTAACGAAATCATAAAACAACGCAGTGTTGTCAACCATGTACTAAACATAAACAGATAAATAGACAGCATTAATTCAAAGCCATAAGACAGTATCCTCTCATATATTCGGTCTACAATGTACAGACATTAAAAGCAATTTACTCTCATAATAGCTCAACAATTGTGCTAAGGGAAACGCAAGGAACCGGTATTCTGCTATCTTTTCGTTTCGATAGCTATTTGCACTAAGTGAAACGAAAGACTTGGAGATAATAGGGATTTTTCTCACTTGAGATACTGGGGAAATTTCGTGACAAAAATTCGAATCGATTTTGAAACTGCTGACCAGCTGACAAGGACCAAATCTACACTCACCTTAATTTCCGTAATCTACGTACCAAAGGTTAGCTGTGTCCACCTTGAAGAGCAAATACTGACAAAAGGCACGTAAAAGGACAAAAACTGCCAGGGGAATGGAAATCATAAAATTCAGTAAGAAACTCTGTTGCCTCTCAAGAATCACATGCAGCCAATTCCAAGTGGCATAGAGTTAGTTTTTATTGTATGAAAGAACATTCCTGTCAAAAACTACCGTAAGGAGCTTTGCACTGATAGAGAAAATCTCTTGTCCATGGTTCCGCTGCTTTGCAGAGTGAAAATGCCATTTTTCGAATGAGTATTCTCGACCATGAAGTGCAGGTGCATAAGAGATCCGATCTAGATGACAAATTGCAGTGACGTAGAATATGAGTAATTAAAAATTCTGAACGTTTAAAACAAAATGATCAAGCAAGTGCGATGTTTACAACTGAATACAGGTCAAATATACACTCAAACCTTCGGTACTGTTTAACTATAAATCCCCCCTCCACAAATATTAT